TTTTAGCCATCAACTCACCCATGATCTGTCACATTTACTCTCTGCTCATCACTTCTCTTCGGGACGGAAGTGCGGCCACCGAGTACACATGAAACCGATGAATGCGTTCATACTATATCTAAATAGGAGTCCCCCACTACCTTATGTCTCTTGACATGCAAGCTATCCACATCAACAATCATCATATATCCATCCTCCTCAACAAATCTGCCACGTTATCAAGTTTTTCCTTTTATTTTTATGTATCCTTTCAGCCATTCCACATCTTTTTTTTATATATCACTACCTTATTTTCCTACCTTCTCTACTTTTAGCCACTAGCCTGCCCATGAACTGCCAAATTTACTCTCTGCTCATCACTTCTTTCCAGGCCAGAAGTGCAACCACTGAGTACATATGAAACCGACGAAGGCATTCACGTGCCCCTACTATATCTAAATAGGAGCCCCCGCTACCTTATTTCTCTTAACATGCAATCTATCCACATCAGCAATCATCATGCAGCCATCCACCTCAATAAATCTGCAACATCATCAAGCTTTTTCCTTTTATTTTTCTATATCCTTTCAGCCATTCCACATCTTTTTTTATATCCCACTACCTTATTTTCCTACCTTCTCTACTTTTAGCCACGGGCCCGCCCATGAACTATCACATTTACTCTCTGCTCATCACTTCTCTCCCCGCCAGAAGTGCAGCCAGTGAGTACACATGAAACCGACGAAGGCATTCACGTGCCCATCCATTTCCGCCGGTTTGGTTTCTTGTATGGTCCATCTCCCTTCAGTTTTGTTATTTCACCATGTCCATCCATCTCCCCATTCTTATTCTTCTTCTTTGCAACTTGAAGTACGAGTTCCTATCATATGTGGCATCACAAATATGTGCACCCCACGTCTCCTCGCCATCCTCTGTCCATTCTCTGATCATGCACTGCTTGTAACACCCTGAGACCGACGCTCCAGATGCCTTCCATGGATTCTGAGTTTCGCCGTGGGTTGTATTTGTTTGTTGCATTCTTCTTAGCATCTTTTGCATTGCATCTTGTCATCATGCCATCATGTCATTTAATTTTAAAAACTCATCTAAATAAAATTGCATAAATCGTTGATATATTTAAATCGAGGGAATTCACATGGTGGTTTCTCTTTATAACATATCCTCCCAATATTTTAGGGAGCTATTATTAAAATATTCCATTAACTTTGGAATCACGATAACACACTTGCAATTTAATTCCGTGCATCTTCTGCTTCAAGTTTCACCTCCAAACTTTGCCAACAATTCTTTTCCCTTTTATCGAGGCTCTTCCTAAATTCTCAACATTTTTGGACACTTCTAAAACCTTGTTCTAGTTCAAACCAGTAGAATTAAATTCAAATGAGTTTGAATTTAAATCTTGCATTCGTGCCAACTTCTATTTCCTTGGATCAAGCTCATTTTTGTGAGTCCGAGGAAATTATCCGCGTGTCCAACTTCTTCCCCTAACATCCCTTTCTTTTATTTCTTATATCTGTTTTATTTTATTTTATTTAGAGTGAGAGAGAGAAGAGAGCCCAGCAGCCAAGCCGGCCTGGTTCCCCGCAGCCCATTTGGCCCAAGGCCCAGCCGGCCCCTGCCTATCTAACCCTAGCCCCGAACCCCCTCCTCTCGATCTCTCCCTCTCATTCCTCCCTGCGCCGCCACACGCACGGGAACAGCTCCCGCTTCCCTCCTCATCGCCCTCGCTCTACCCCGCGCCCGAGCGCCTCCTCCGCGAGCTCACCTGCCCGCACGGCCATGGCGCCACCGGCCTCCATGGTTCGCCCGTGCCCTGCTCTGCCTCGACCTTCGCTCCAGCTCCAGCCCCTCCAGCGCCTGCCTCCCTTCCTCTCCTGTGCCACAGTGCTCGGCCTCCTCCCCGAGCTCCTGCTCCCTTCGTCCATGGCGCCGCTGCCTCGCCCGAGCCCTTTGCTCGACCAGGAGCTCGTCAACTCCGGTGCCTCTGCATCTTCCAGCCGAACGCCCGTCTCGCTCGCGTGTTCGCACCTCCGCCATGGCCTCTGTCTGCTGTATAGCTCAGCTCCTGCCATCTTCCCCGCCTTCCCTATGCCGATGACCCCATGCATCACCTCCCTGGCCTCAAATCCGACTGGTTCCCGCCGACCCAGTCGCCCGTCCCATGGCCGCCCTCTTCATCTTCGGCGGATCTCGCGCCGCTGCAAGTCGCTGCCGCCGACCCTGTTTTCCTGCTCGTCGCGTGAGCATCAGCGCCCGCTCTCGTGCTCGTGCGTGAGTGCTCGCATGGGCCACTTCGACCGTTGACCTCCTCAAGTTCAGGACCAGGACCCGAGACCCGTGTACGATTACACAACGAACTGTGGAGTTACACGAGCTACAAGTACCGCGACGACCCCGGAGACTGGATTCTGTCAAGTTCCTCTATGACATGTGTACCATTACTTCCACAACATGTCGTGTACGACTACCGTCGCTCGGATTCGACAAGACAACGTGTACCACTACCGTTGCCAAGTTCATCTACGAAACGTGTACAACTACTTCCACTACGACCCACAAGTACCACTACTTCCCTCGACGAATTCGAACCGCTCCGAAAACGCATGCTTCAAAGGTATAACCGC